AAAGATAAATTATTAAAATTTTATATTAAATATAATATATAAAATTTATATGTAAGTAAATTTTTTCAAAAAAATAACTTATAATTTTATATTTTCTCTGTGTTTAATCAAAAGTAAACATCATATTTAAACTAGAAATTTCATAAAAAATTTACATTTTAATTGAGCTCGCCCAAAAAATTCATCAGGTGACGAACACACCTCCGCCTCCCCTGTCAATCACGCAAAGTTCATTTTTTTTTTTTTTTTGTAGTGCAGTCGTTTTTATCTTTTTAACAAAGAAATTAATAAAAGGGAAGAGGGATGGAGCCCTTTCTGAGGAAGTCTGATGTATCACCGGGATACAACAGACGAGGTATCCTAACTCATTGGAAAAACACCACATCAACAATTTTTTCACACTTCATCAATCATAAACCTAAAAAAAATTGATATGGTGTTTTCTTATTGGGTTGGGATACCACGTCTGTTGTATCCCGCTGATACAGCAGACAAAACCCTTTCCGAGCCCCACTCTATTTGAAAAATCAATAAAGGCAACTGCAGTGAAGTTTATATTTTTCAATCAATTCCCCGAGTAATTTAACTTTCAAAAACCCCCATTTAGTCACGCCTCTCAGAAAGGAAAGTGGCAGGCAGGCCACTAGGTGATTGGCTTTGGTGGCTGCTTTATGAATTATCAATATATGTCTTTCCAAATACAAAAATCAATACTTTTCTCAGAATAAAAATAAAATCAGGTTGCTTCAATTATCAAGTATATTATTGGACGGGCTTTCGCTGAATGTCGTCGCAAAATATCAAGGTGCCTTAAGTTGATTTTTCAATTATTGACTCCACATTGACTTACCTTCTACGACTTCATCTTTCCCCACCCTCAGTCGACCTCTGCTTTCCTCATTTTCTCCAAACCGAAAAACACAGCAAAAACACCATGCAAATAGAAAGGTTTCTTCTTTTTCTCCTCTTGTTCTTCTCAATCCTGCTTTCCCCCGCAGCTTACACTCGCCCAGATCACTTCTTCATCAACTGCGGCTCAGATACAAACGCAATCGTCAGCGGCAACCCGAACCGGACCTTTATCGGGGATTTGATCTACCCAGATTCCTTGTCTTTTACCAAACAGAAAACGAAAGTCATAATCAACAGCCAGATATCAGATGTTCTGTACCAAACAGCAAGAATTTTCAAGCAGCAGTCTTTCTACGAGTTTGACATCGACACTGCTGGGATTTATCTGGTACGTCTTCATTTCTTCAATTCAACTGATGTCTCCACAGCTGTTTTTGATGTTTCGAGTCTTTCGACTGCCCAATTTTCCCTGTTGAAAAATTTCACCATTCTAAGAAGAAGTACCAAAGATAGCAATTCTCCCCTCATAGATGAATTCCTCTTAAACATCACTCAAGGAAAATTTTCAGTCTACTTTACCCCTCAAGGATCCTCTTTTGCCTTCATAAACGCCTTAGAAGTCTTCCTTGCCCCGGAGAAATTCATCCCTGACAACGCTTCAACACCAACTAATAAAAATTACAGTGGTATCCTCTCCCACGCTTTACAGACAATTTACAGAATCAATGTTGGGGGAGAAAAAGTAACACCAGATAATGATACCTTATGGAGGACATGGATACCTGATGACGGATTTTTAAGTAATCCAAGCATGGCAAAGAACAGCACATCTTCTTCGGCTAGGCCTAATTATCAAGGAGCATTTACTGAGTTTATTGCACCTGATCATGTGTACCAAACTGCCATTGAGAAGAATAACACAGACACATCCAATGTGACATGGTCCTTCAATGTGTCTAAGAATTCTACGCATTTTGTTCGGGTTCATTTCTGTAACATTGTTGGTAGCTCAATGGGTAGCATTATATTCAATTTGTACCTAAATGGCATCTACCGTCGAGAAATCAATCCCTATGAAATGGCAGACACCTTGGACATGCCGTTTTTCTTAGATTTTGTACTTGATTCTGACGAGTCTGGTGCTATGAATATAAGCATTGGTCCCTCAGAAAACTCTTCGGAGAAAAATGCGTTTTTGAATGGAGTGGAGATAATGGAGATTACGGGGGAATCAAGTATAGTTATCAGGCTGGATAAAAGTAAGAAAATTGTCTTGCTTGTGGTTGGTCCTGTTGTTGGGAGTCTACTTGTTTGCGTCTTGGCAGTTGCGTTATTTATTGTTTTGAAGAAGAGGAAGAGAACATCGGTTAAAACTTCAGTTTGGTCGTTGTTCAGTGGACACGGCGGCAGATCTTCCGATTGCAAGGGGACCGACGGAACCATCAACGTCTTCCAGGTCCCAAATTTGAACCTTGGCCTGAGAATTCCCTTTGCTGAAATTCAGTCCGCTACAAACAATTTTGATGAGAAGTTGCTGATTGGAAAGGGTGGATTCGGAAATGTTTACAGAGGAAAACTCAAAAACAGGTCGAAAGTTGCAGTAAAACGGGGTCAACCAAGGTCTGGCCAGGGGTTATCGGAATTTCATACGGAAATCATGATCCTATCCAAAATCCGCCACCGCCATCTTGTTTCCCTTATAGGATATTGTGATGAAGGGTCTGA